TAGATTTCAAAATTAAAACTAAATTCCGAAAATGATTGACTACTTAAATTGATTTTTTTATACCTTCAGAGGCATAAACCATTTCCCAGAAAATCAATCTGATAAGTCTTCAAATTATTCGAATGGGGATGTCTTGCCTTTGCAATCTATCAAGTTAGTACCTCGAAGTGGGGGCCCAAAAAGAAAACGTAGAAAAACTGCTATTAAAAGGAAAGATTACGATATACAAGAAGAAAACAAAAATCTTAGCGGAAACGCCATTCAGAAATCATCTCAACTGAAACAACAATATTTACAAAATTACCAATCTTCTTATACGCATCAAAATCAAAGTGACAAACGAAAAATTGGACCACTCAAGAACGTGTTAGGAAACACAACAGGTTATTTACAATACTTTCTTTTAACATGTTAGATTGATACTTTTCTTAAAAAAAATTCATTTTTTTCTTTATAGAATATTATTTATAAATGCTCTATTTGCAGATCATTCAATACATCGTTTGATGTCTGGGTCAACTAATGGTAAACTACGAAAACGTAAAGGTGTAACTAAATTAAAAGTGGCTCAAGTTGAACATTGTAGCATACAACCAAGAGAAAAATTTTCTTCCAATTTTAGTTCTATTGTCAGATCAAGGCCCAAAACCCCTTGTCTTAATAGTGATATTGGTAAGAATGAAATAATAATAGAATGTTAATAGTGGATTAATATTGGTAAAACAAAAAATACCATTCTATATATATATATATATATATATATATATATAAATTACTTGAGTGTAGCTTCCGGAATGCTGGCAATGTGCGGCCAATATTGTTTGCCTTCTAAAAAGTTGGTAGAGCTATACCACAATGTTGCAGCAGTTGAATCAACATCGGATACTCAAATTCAACAGGTATTTGATCCAACAAGCTTCACTCAACCAGCTTCTAAGAAGAATGTGCTTTCGAAAGCTCAGTGCTGGTATCGGACTATGCCCACTGAACGTAAGATAGAAACTTGATTCACGATATATGTACTTCAAAATTAATAATATCTTATTATCTTGTAACATTGCAGAATCGTCTGTAACATTAGAACCACCATCAAACAAGCAAGTGTTTCATTACATGTCTAGAACATCTCAGCAACTTTTAGAACGTCGAAAATTATTAGACAGTACAAACATTAAAATTCCAAGCCCTTCGTTACAAAGAATTTCACAAACTAGGTATTGTATATTACTGTATCATATATCTGTTTGTAAGGTGAGTTTATATTTATTATTATCACTTTCAAGTCCCGTAAAAGATTTTGATTCTAATGAGATACCATGTGAAGATAATGCTAATTTAGAAAAAATAACGCAAGAAGAAAAGGTGGTTTCACAAATTAGACCCGACGTTGGCATTATCGCTGATTTGTCATCAAGCCATGAAATGTTTGTTGTAAATGATAAAGCTAATTACGTCAGTAATCAACAGCAGGTATGTTTTTAATATACATTGTCATTTATAAACTTTTGACGACTGAAATATGCAAATAGGCACTAAATCAAGAATCTACGAAAAACACTCCAAAAGAAGATAAAAATGCATGTTCCTCCACCAACAAGATGGAAGTTGCTGAACCCATATCATCAGAGAGAGTAACATTATTAAAATACTTTAACATATGGTGTAGAATGTACAATTAAAATATTGTTCTTCTTTAACAGCAACTAATAAATAAAACCAGATCTGAATTAAGTAAGAAAAAGCAAAAATTGGAACATCATCTACCAGAAGAGCTTAGAAAAGTTCAAAGTACACCTGCCGAAATCAAACATTTTGTAAAAATGAATACAGGACCATTGAGAAACAATAACACTTTTATTAAGAATAATCAAAACAGGCACAAGAACTACCATTCACCAACTGTATCTTCTAGAATGAAAAATATGGTAAAAACTATGAATATTTACAATTTTCGAAAAATTCCATTCGTAGTGGCAAAAAGTACTACACCAAGCCATAATTTGGGACTGAATATTCAGCAAGTCCTAAGTATAATGAAAGGGCGTCAAAAAATAGGAAACATACCTCCTGTTATGGCTGCAAGCATGGGTAAATATATTATAATATGTTTAATTTATGGTCATTTAATTCAATTTACGATTGAATTACTTTAAATTTTCAATTTGTGTTCTCAGGGATAAATGGTGATGTTCCATTGGAAAGTTTTGGAAAATGACGGTTTGTCCAAGATCTAAATCTGCAACATGTCCTTTAATGGGATCAGAAAATGATAGTATTACGAATGAAGTATGTGATAGTACAATATACTGTGACATGTTTTAATTGTTTATTCAAAATAGTTTCTATGATAAAAGTTAATTTGTTAAATCATAGAGTTTAGATGGAGACCTATGGGACAAAATAAGTTTTAAGAATTCCAGCAGCAGTACGCAATGTACTTGTTATCCAGAAAGTTCAATGAATTATCAAGAAGTACTTCAAGAATTCATGCAAGAAGACAGTAAAGATACATTGAATGTTCATGAACAAAGTGATTCCGACGAAGATTACGAGCAAACGTTAGTAAATTTTGTTAAAGATAAAAAAAGTTAGAGATAAAATTCTTATTTTTTCAATAGACCAACTAATTCAAGACCTACTTCTTCCGTCACTCAAACGTCACTGCTTTCAAAACAGGATACAGAAATGGCAAACAAGATTAAGAGAGGCATCGAGGAGCTTTACAAAGAATTCAATGATTTGAACGAGTGGGTAGCGGGTAACTGATATCGTATGGTATACAGTGTAAAACTGAATTACTAGCACGGTTGTTAATAGAGATAAATGTTTTCAAATATTTTTCAAGAATAACTAATAATATAATTGAATTAAATTCTGAAGATACTTTGATATAATAGCATATATTAGAGAGCATTTGAATTGTTTTTAAAATTCACTAAATAACTAATAGTAATTAGCTTGCCGTAGGGCAAGTTATAGTAATCGCAAAAAATCGAAAATATTTTTTTTATATATCTTTACGTTTCAGAGGTTTCTGAACATTTTGGCATAACTTAGATAAAATGGATGTACGTGTGTGTATGTGTGTATGTGTGTTGCGGATACAAATTTTCGTCGACGATTCCGGTTCAACCGATTTCAATTATTCAACAAACATTCGATTACTATTAATAAGGAGACGTGCTGATTAGTTTTTGGCATAGGCAAGTGCCAAAAGGTAACTCAGTTTTTAAGAGAACGGAGCGTCTGATTTCAATAGTTCAAAAAACATTTTACTTCTATTGACTAGATGAACTGATTAAATTTTTTAGAAGGCAGGTCTAGCGGTTTAATGCCATTTTGAGGTCAAAAATTATACTTAGACATATGCACATCAAATTATCAGATATTTTAAGGAGATTTTAATAATGTGTATCAATTTTGTTTACATTTCTATGGTTTCCGTAATATCGTTTGTCCTTAGACGGCGACGCGGCGCTTACACGCTTCGATTTTGCATATTTATGCAGCTAAAGCAGTGCAATTGCTTTGAAAAAAAGTCCAAAATTTCCAAAATATTTCAAACTAAAAAAAAGTAATTTTTTTTTTCAAAAATTTAAAATCTCTCAAAAATCTATTTTTTTCAAAATTTAAAACATATTTAATCTTTTTTAAAAAAAATTATTTTTGGTACGGGAAGTTCCAGCAGTTTGCCTCAAGGCACGATGCCATACACCACTAGTTTTAAAATATAATTGAAACAATAAATGCAAAATCATTTAATTATATATAAAAAAACTCTGACTTCGTACTCTTTTTAAGGCAAAAAACCAAATTAGAGCATGACATTAAAACCGGGGCAGTGGATCCAAAAACTGTACATGGAAAACTTAAAGCTTTGCGGGAGGCTTATGCAGCAAAGGAACAAAAAATTGGATTAGTGCTTTCTCTTCAACACAGGGTTACATCACTCAGAGATATCAGAAATGCTCTTTGTGAAGGACGAATTATGCATCGCTTAAAAAAATCTACTGGTAATGATAGGATAAACTTGAATTAACATTGTATTGATCATAAAAACTATTGACTCGATTAATTTTTTTAGACTGAGATACTTTTCTATTCAGAGAATGGTTATTAATTTATTAATTGTTGTGCTTAAATTTCTTTCAGGCACTGCTTCTATGCGTTTGACAAAGCTTCTTCGTGGAATACAGCAATTTCAAGTCAGACTATTAAAATCAAAGTGAAGAAAATATTTATTTTTTTAATAGCTAAAAATGCTGAATAAAATAAAATAAATTTAATTTCTAAATATTATATTTTTGATCTAAGAGTTTATATTATCTGAAATATGACATTTGAATCAGTTTTTAAAATAAGAATTCTAAAATTGACATAGTACTTTCACATATTTTATCACAATTTTGATCAAAATACTCTTCGAATCTTTTTAAGATTTATATGCTAGGAGTATTATAATTAAGATTAACAATTAACGAATACAAATTTCTTATTTACTCTTTGGTAATCATCATCAATTAAAATTACAAATGTTATACTTGTACATAATTATTTAAATGTTCTGAATGTTGAAACTAAAAGCCTATTTAGTTATACTCTTGTAGGAGACAAACAATAATGATGGATTCATTTTAGTTCATTTAATAATACAGATCCAAAAAAAAGAGCATGGAGGTATAAGTCAAGCCGTAATTAAAATCTTAATAATATAACAAGCGTCTGTAATAACAATGCATTTTTAGTTTGTAATGATAGCTTGAAAAAATGTTTATTGTGCTAAGTAAAGATAAGGAAAAATAAATAATATCCATTATTTAATATCATAAAGTTCAGATAAATTGATATAACCTTTCATATTTTTGTCACAACAATTGCATATCACATTGAGATCTACAGAAGAACCGTATATTTGTTTATCGATAAAGTTGTAAAATTGTTAATGTAATTAGTAAAGTAATCAAAGAGCTCAACACATTTTTTATTTTTAAATAAAAGGCCTAAGCAAGTTTTTCATTTGCTTTCTTATAAAATAAAGCAGCAAACATTACTGAAGTGCTTAGTACTGTAGAAATTATAAAATTTCCCAATAGTGTAAAATCCGCTGAATCCATATAAATAGTGTAAATACGAGCTGAAAATTTATATTTGATAATTATGTTAACAATACAAATGCAAATAACATAAGATTGACTCGGAAAATTTATTTATATCATCTGACTGTATTGTCCCTATCTGCAATTTCACTATAGTAATAAAATATATAAAAATATGTACTTACTCAGATTTGTAAATGCAGATATGAACCAAGTCAAAACACTGACCGATTCAGAATCTTTTGTACGGAGTATTTCTAAGAGTTGCACAATCTTACTGGATGCTCCAATAGGTGTACACATTGGCTTAAAAGAAAATTGATTTCATAGACGCTGTTTCTTTATAGTGAATTGAAAGTATCAAGCAATGGACACTTACCACCAATATACCAAGTACTGTTCTTGGAAGCATGTCGAAAGCTAAAACTGATGCCAATATCAAGTACCCCACAACAAAAATCAATGTATTTTTGCTGATGAGATTGTTATATAACAAAACTAGGTATATTAATATTAATTGCTGTATTAAAATTATTGGGTATTCCAGATATGATAAAAGAGCATATCTATTCACAAAATTGTACGAAAACATAATTGTGTAGCTGAAAATAAAACATAAAGTATATTCAGAGATATCAACATCATCCTCATATTATTTTTTATCAACTTTGTAGTACCTACCTGGATAATTCTAACATAAGTCCATATAAATTTATGCCTCTAGCAGATTTTTTTTCATGCAGTGTTTTAATTTGAGGTACTTTAAGAATAAAGCATATTGCTATGGTAATAAAACTTAAAATATCAGATATGATATACGCAAAACTTTTTTCGAACATTTTTAAATATTTTCACGACCAAACTGATTTTTTTACAAGGTACTGGGTATTGCTATTAATAAATTTCTTTCGTAATAACCTGCAACATGCTACAGAAATTTGATTCAAAAAATTTAACACTATTTATTTACTAGGGATCCAGAAACTGACGATTACAAATTCATGTAGTCAATTCTAAAGTTAAAATTAAAATGGAACGATAAATTGTAGACGTCAATTTCAATTTTGACATTTTTCAGTAACGTCAATTTGTGTCATTAGAATATTGTGATGACAGCTCAAAGCACCTAGTGACAGTTTCTTGAACTAATCGATAAATTATGTTTTTATAAAATCTGTTGATTGTCAAAAAAATATTGATATAAATGAAGGACAAATGTCAAACTCAACATAATTTTTGCACAAACATAAAATATTTAATATGTTTGTAGTATAAACTGTGTGAAATAGATTCATAATAATTATTTAATCTACAAGGAAACGTATATTATGCATGTGAAATGCCAATTCGTAAGAAAATAGAAAACTTACGTCAAATCGCTTTTGATCATACTTTTAGTTTAATAAATCAAACCTGCCAAAATATTTGTAAGAAATATGAATCCTATGATGATGCAACATGCGCAAAGGAAGTTTTGGAACTTAATCAGTTTTTATTTGCCAATTTATGTTCTATGTAAGGCGTCCACAATTATATTTGTTTTAATACTTATCATTCTTATTTATTGTTTTTCCAGATTTTTAGATGACATGCTACAGAAAAGGGATAAATGCTTGAATATAAAAGATCCAAGAATATTAATTGCTACTTTAACAAACCCTTTGACAAGATGTTTTAAAATGGAAACACCGAGAGATGCGTATATACCAAAACAATTTTGGATATCCTTAATTCACTCATTAAATAATTTAGTTAGTTTAGATATGGCATTGATATGTAATGATAAATTACTGAGCGTTGTAGGGAATTCATGTCCTAAGCTAGAATATATTAATGCAACTTCTAGTTATAAAAGAATTCAATCAGATTTCAATGCATTGCTGCTATCAAGGAATGTAAGTGACAAAGGTTTGCACTGTTTGTTAAGCTGCCAGCAACTACGCAAAATTGTCATAGATGAACCAAGAGGAAAATTTACTCATGGAATTACTTACAAAGGAATTGAAGAACTCATTACAAAACTTAAATTTCTAGAAGAAATAAATTTCACTGATATTGCTGCGATAATAAATAAACCTTATCTAAAAGGAGTAACATTAAAACTTAAAAATATAACTCAATTCAAAATTTCAGTCCAAAAAATAAAGATATTTGAAAAGACATGTCCAAATCTAAAATGCTTAATCTTAACAAATTTTAGTGCTGATGAGAATGAATCTTATGCTGCTTTAGACTACATGGCGGAGTCAGTAATACATTTAGAAAGTATAAAGTTATCATATTTTGGTTATAATTCAGCAGTTCAAAAATATTTTCAAATGAAAGGATCATTTCTTACTTCTATAATCTTCATTGGTGATGCAGAAAGATCAATAGCAGCTGAAGACATACATCACATAGGAAAATATTGTCCTAATCTAATGCGATTACATATAGAAAAAATAGCTTTTTTTGATAACGGTTTAACTGAAAGTGTTTATGATAAAAATATGTTTAAGTTTATAAAAACTTTACATTTGTCCGGTCTCAGATGGGATGTTGAACATATTTTACCATTATGTCTTTCTAATACTATCTACATAGAAAAAATATCACTCATAATCAATGATGAGAATTATAATGATCATAATCCTTATCGTGTTGAAAATGTTCTTGCAAAAATCTTTAACAAAAATACTGCCGCTCTGAAATCACTAGAATCACTATATTTATACAATCCTATAGCAGTGACTGTAGAATTTATAACTTTTTTACTTGCAAAATGTGATAATTTACAAGCATTGAATGTTTGGTGTGAGGATCATGAAAAATGTTCAACATTACAAAAGACTTTAATTTCTGATAATTTTGATATAAATTTCCAATATGATTTAGAATAAATCAAAAACAGATACTTATATGCTATGCATATCATATTTATTATATATTTAACAATTTGAATTATATGTTCAATTCAATATAAAGTTTAAATTAGAATCTGTTTTTTAATATTCTTTCATAATTAATTAATGTACTGAATAGTTTGCGCACCTTTTAAGAAAACCAGCCTGGCTTATTTATTTGATTGTACTTTGCGATATTTACTAATATGGAATTAGTTACTTCTTCTGCAGTTTTATTTTGCCCATAATAATCTACAAATTCACCATCAGGATTCACTAAGTACTGAATAATAGTGTGATCCACCTAGAAGATATTACTCATATTATTTATTTATTCAATAACTTGAATAACCAATAAAAGAATCAAATTAATGTAAATTGAATATCACTAACTCATTAGCTGTTCAGATTTTGCCTTATAAAATGTTATCAATGAAAGTAAATTGGAAATAGCAGGTATTTCACAAAAATAACAGAAATATTTCAATTATGAAACTATAAAATAATCTTAAAACTTATTAGAAAAGAATATTTACAATATAATCTTGATCAACATCTTTTGGTCCCAAACTGCTGTATACTCTATAAGCTTTGCAAGCTTTACTTATTTGTTCTGGACTTCCTGTTAATCCAATCAAACGATCAGAAAATTCTTTAACATACTTTCCTACAATTTCAGGTGAATCTCTATCAGGATCCACAGTTATAAATAAAGGTGTAATTTTAGGTGCATCTTTGTGTTCATCTAAGAAGAAACAATATATTACAAATGTTTTGAGATACTTCATCCTAAAGAAAATATTCATTAATAAGCACCTAAATTTTTAACAACTTTAGTCATTTTTTCTAATTCGTCTGGGCAAATATCTGGACAATGTGTGAATCCAAAGTAAATCATAAGCCATTGTCCTAAAAATTCTGTACTCTTTCTTAATTTTCCATCAGAATCCACTAACTCAAAAGATCCACCAATAGCAGCTTTACCAAGTTGGCGTTTTCTCTCTCGCAATATAGCTAAAAGTACATATTAATGCATTGATTTATTTATGAAAGTTAATTCATATTAACTTAAATTAATTAAATAAAAATTAAAATGTTAAATACAAACAATTGTATATTGCGATATTATTTTAACAAAATGAAATTTTAAATAAATGACAGTGGAACCATCAATTTCATATTAAAAAAAAAAAAACAAAAGTCTAAAAATATTCTGTTATATTGGACCAAAATACAAAATTTTATCACTGGTTTTCAAGTTAAAGAAAGCATGTCAGCTTTGTCTGAATTAGATGAATTTTTTGCCAGAAAAGATAGACGTCGCAATAAAAAATGTAATGCTATGCTTTCGACACCTGAAGATGTAGCAAGAAAATTAGGTAATAACATTCATACAAAGAAGAAACAGGTACTTTTTCCAGTAAATTCAAAATAATTGTTAGCAACTACTTCTTCATTGTTTAAATACACTAATTTCTATGCATATGTTGCAATAACAATAATTTTAAGCAGTAATTTTATTTAATAAGAGCCAAGTATATGAAAATTCAACTCTCTTTACAGTATTAAATTACTTACAGTATTAAATAAAATTCACCGATCTAAAAAGTAAGAAGTAATACACTCTGAATGAATGTATGGCTGATTTAAGTGCATAAATAGTTAAAGAATGAAAATATGTTGTTGATAAATCCCATATTACAGATGAAGAAGCTGAACGAAATGAACAAAAATTGAGAAAAGAGCAAATGAGTTCGATTTGCATTCCACAAACAAATATTGAGCAAGAATGCATTGAAATAGAAGCAGTAGAAAAAGGTGAATGGGCAGAATTTGGTGAAAATAAAAAGGACTATACTGGTCTTAAAATAGGTTTGTTGTGTTTAACTTATAATTAAATAAATTTACAAAATAGAAAGCCAAATAACTTTTAGGAAACCTCACATTTGATACAGAACAAATGCAGCCCGATTCTGATAAATCAGCCAATTCTGTAGAGAATAATTCTAATGAAGGAGAGGTAACTACTAGTGTCTGGAAAAAACTGGCAAAAAAAGAACCACCCAAGGAACAAATCCCGGTTCAGAAAGCAGAACCAGAAAAAGTAAAGGGATATAGACCACCACATCTAAGAGTAAAAATGAAACAGACAGCTCATGCCAAAAGTAAAACAGAAAGAGTCAGTCGAACTGCTCCTGACATCAATAATGAACAATTCTTTCCCACTTTAGCTAGTAACAGGTATTTTTATATTGTCAATCAATTGGTAAATTATTATTATGTATAACATGGATTGAAATCCCGTAATTGGCTTAAAGATTTCAAATTGTTATTACATATTAATAATAAATTATTAATTGTGGGTGTTGTATTCTGTAATATATATAATGATTTTTTTGCAGATAATCAGAAGCTACATATAAATCTAAATATTCAATATTTTATATAAAAATTTAATTTGTAAAACTTATTTATGTATAAAAATGATGTTTCAAATTTTGTATTATAACTTATAGATTGCATATTTTTATTATATAACTTTATACCCATTTGTTTTTCGTTTTTCACATACAACATGAACCCTAGGAGCCCTCCACCTACGCCAGCAGTGATTCCCAAAGATTTCCATGTAATAGGGCCTTTATTTTTTCCCGGCTGAGTAGCTGTCGTGGAGCTGTATCTTAATCTTGTATTCTATTATTTTTGGAAAAAAATAATTAGCAAATTGAAATCAAATTAATGATTTCATTATTTGATTTGAAATTATTATAGGTTAGAAACTTACAAAAACATTGTCCACTGTTTTATTCGCACGACGAATGTACCTCCACAGTATTTTAGACATTATGAACTGAATTTCTAAATAAATTGCAAAATTGTTTAAAGTAGAAAGAAAATTATGTGATTATGCTCTTGTACTTTGCGCATAGACAAAATAGATTGTGGTTAAATGTCACATTTGGGTTTACAGTGGTTTCCAATATTCGTTTTCTTCTAACTGACAAATAATCAATCTAGTATCGCAGAGTTAACTAAAGATGTTTTTATATAATATAATTTCACCAATAAAATTATTAATTAATTAATATTTTCAATAATGAAATTAATAAAGAGCATTTTAAGGCACTACAAAATTTAATACCATTATATTATAACAAAATAGGAAGTTTTTAATTTATTCTGCATTTAAATAATAAAAAAAAATCAATTCAGACTTCAAATTAAATATATTGCAAATTTATTTCATTCATAGCTAAAAATACAATTTTATTTGACTAGGCTCACAAAAATATTTAGCTGAAGCACATTTTAGAACATATTCTCAAATATTTTAAATAAATACCTTATTTCATATCGGCATCTAATTGAAAATCAAATATAAGCACAATGATAATTCAAAATAAAGCATAATACAATTTCAAATGTATTAAACATTTTGATAAAGATTAATTAATTAATCTACTGAGGAGTCGGAGTTAAAGCAACCACTGTAAAACGTAGCTCATCAGGATCACGAGCCATGAAACCTTGGCACACTTTGGCAGCATCCTGCAAGTTATTTTAAATTAATAAATTATTCATATACATATTTTGTATTGAAATACACATACTTCTAAGAATGTATTGGGTGTAGTAGTCCCATGATTTATAGGAAAAGATTTTCTTCCATCTGAAAAATATTTAGAACTGTTGATTATGTATTGCTTATTAGAGCTTAAACTTAAAATCAAAATATTAACCTAATTCATAAAGGTGACCATCTTTATGCACAAGAGCGACAAAATGATGATTTACAGGCTCATCTAAGCCTGGCGCATTGGTTTGACCTTCCATGGCTAATTCTTTATGAGCATTCATTATACCTTCACAAGTCTCTAAACCATTTCCACGACTTTGTGCATCAGCACTTTCAGAATCCTCTAAGAACTGTTTAAGAACGCCATCACCTAGTTGTATTCTGTAAGTTGTAATTATGTATTAATTTAAAATCTATTCAAGTCTACCATAAAAATCGGTTATCTTTCATCGGTTATCTATCTGTTCTTAACTACAAACTGTGTATATATTTGGAAATGTATATAAGAAAAAACATCTTACTGATCAGTATTGTTAGCAACACTGTGTACAAGAGCAATTGTTCCACAAGCATTATGTACAGTTTGCTTCATGTAGAAGAGATTTTTAGAAATTTCTTGCGGAGAAGCAGTCAATTTGGCATCTTCTGCTGCTCGATGTTCCTCATACTAAAATGTCACGCAATTTAAACTGCATTAATATGATGTTCTTCAACAATATAATATCAATAAATATGTATATGCAAAAGAACCAAACCTTTGCGGAACAGGGAAACAACAAAATTAAAGCTAAAACTGGACGTGGAACCCATGCTAGCATATCTGGCTCTAGAGCGTAAATGTCGACGATCGACCATTTATTTGGAACACCCAGCTTATGAAGATACTTGGTCATTACCTAAAATTAAATGTGTGTAATATTAAGTATTCAACCAGCGATGAACTTTTGTGCAATATACTTCAGGATTAGATTCGAGAGGTATCCAGGTAGTCATGTTTAACCAGATATATAAATTATACAACTAGTATTTAAATAATAACAAACACTACGACCGGTTTCAAAAACAAAACACTGTATGGAATCCTATGAGAAAGTGAGAGTGACATGCAAAACTCAAATGACTCAAATAGATACTACTGCTGCCATCTATTCACATACTAACCGACTCGATATATTTTTTGTTTATTGGTAGTGTGCATCTGTCAAAGTCAGTGAGGATACGGTTGAGTATGAGAATTTAAAAAATATAAATAGTAATTGTTAGATTGGATTAGATAACTATTTATCTTAAAGGTCGAATCAAATTAAATTCAACTTTTTTCAATCATATCTTCAGCACATTGCATTTATAATATTCAATTTATAATATATTAAACAGAGAGAATTTTTATCCTCACTGTTTTGGTCATGTTAAAAATAATAAATACATAAAATAATCTACTGTCATAATGTATTTTATACAAATTCATCATATAAAGCATTAAACCATTTTGTATTATGTGTTAGCAGCATGACTGCAAACTCAACATCATCTTCTTGTAATAAAGAATTATATAGAGCATATAATTTTTTAATATTATAAGTGCTAATTCCCATTTGCATTTGCTGAATAACTTTTTGATATCGTTCTGGATATAATGCTATATATTCCACTAGAGATATATTTTTCATTATTTGTTCAACATATTTTTGAATTATCATATGAAGAATATGTGAATATTCAGTTTCCCTAAATAATGTGTGAAACATCTTAGCGCACATTTGAAAGCAAACTTTAGATTGTAGGCTTAATAATGCAATGTTGTTTAATTCATTGGTGTCTGTGATGTTACATTCTTTGTATACGTGTGAGACAAAATTTATTATTTTATTTTCAATTATACTTGGTACAGCTAACATAATTTTTTCTGTCAAAGTGGATGATATATTCAGTTCATCTGAAAACAAAAATATTTATTAATATATATATATATATATATATATATATATATATATATGTTCAGCAAACATTAAAATTGGATTTAAAAAAAAGATATCTAACCTTTTCTGCGGAAGACTTCTTCAAGGTAGTTTTTGTAGTTCAAATTACTTTTATCAGTGTTATAAAGTGTTAAATGTCTCTCAATAATTTTATGTCGATCAGATTCTTCTACTTTTAGATTTAAAATAGCATAAACAAATGATAAATATTTTTCTTCATTTAAAGTGTACAAATTACATTTAGGGACACTACTTTCATTAAATCTTCCAAGAATAATATCATCATTTAAAAATTGATCCAGTTTTCTTTTATATATTTTTACTGTATTCTGTCCAATATCTTTTTCTATAATATGTTTTATAAAATAGGGAACAACACTTGAATTTGAGGTCCAACATGTATGACCTGGTTGAATTTCTTTACGGCAAAGTTTTCGTATCAAATCCTGAAATATTAATCATACTATTAATCTAATAAATCTAAATAAATTACTATGTTGCAAAAAATATTCTTTGAAATGACTAAGAAGCAAACAATTATCTATTATAAAAATATAATAATTAAAAATTGGCTTACCGTAACTGATTTTCTTGAAGAGTTGTTGGTACTTTTATCTTTATTATTTAAACCTATCCATGTTTCAGTTATATCTGCCGCCAAGGATTCGACTGTTGATTTAACAAGTAAATTATCGTTAATAAAAACTTGCTTATTTTGAGATAAATCAAATTTAGACATGGCAAATCTTTTGAAAAAACCTATCACAATTCATTAAACCATTCTGTGAGTATTAGTATTTACATATTTATTATTTAATTTATATATCAATTCATACGCATATATTTATATATCATGAAATTTTAAAATCAACTCCGAATGTCATATTTGACAGTTGACAATCTTGCAAAAACAGCCTTCAGGGGTGCAGGACCTTTATCCATAGACCATATACATGCATTATATATACGAGGTCTATGTCTTTATCATAATTATTTATTTTATTTAAAATTAATACATTTTTTGGCTTGAATTTGTATTCAAAAAATTAAAAGTAACTTATGTTTTAATATACTGAAAGATGTTTATTGATATAGATCAATACCTAGCAAAAATATAATGTTTAACTGCATATAGCAAAATACACGCATATTGTTTACCATCATAATTAAAATGCTTGTTTTTTTCATTTATTACCATCATCTTAATTCACAAAAGGATTGAAGATTTGATTTCTTAGCAAGATAAAAAAAAAGACAAAAGAAAAACATTTTAACATAGATTTCACTTGCTTGTGCATGTAAAATGAATCTGCATACAAATAAGTCTAGATCTAATCTGACTAAGTACTTTTCTTTTTTAATACAAATATTAAAAAGCAATGTGGATCTAAGTACATACAAATTTTATAAAATCTATATTATTGTATCCATATAAATATGGTATATAATTATCCACATTGCTTTCAGTCTACTTTTTATTCTTTCAAAAAATCTAGACATTTATTGTCATTATATCCTAAATCCAATATATCTACACATCAAATATAAAAATAGTATCACCAATAACAGGGATCACATATACAAACAGCAGTTTGAATCATTCATAACGAATAATGGGCTGTTTTTATAATCATGTAATGAAATGTTAACTAGAATTTTTAATTTAATATTTTTCAAGAATATGATGACCCCTGTTCCACAATCAAATATTTATGAACAATAAATATTGTATTCTGATGCCTATGATATATATTCATTTTCAGTAAAAGTAGACTGATATTTTTTGGACCGGCCAACCATTTTAAAAAATAGTTTACAGACATATTGACTAGAATTGATGAATTTAAGTGATTTCACATTTTGCATCTAAATGTTAGGCACCAGTGATATGATTTACCATAAATTATATAATTATAATACAGCAAATGATAATAAATAACCCATTTGCTTAAAAATCACATCACTAGAAGCAATATATCATATCAACAAAATATAATACATATTTATGTAAATATCTCGGTGTATATTGGTACATGATACTATATTTTATATAAAAGCTTATACTGATAAGATTTTATATCTAAATATTAAATATAGAATTATATCCTAATTTATACAAATATTATTAATATATGTATATATATTTATCTTAATCTCCCTAGACAAAGTTGTTTATTAATTATAAAGATAATTCACAGATCAAATTTAATTTGAAGTCCTCGGATAAGTTTCATGAACTCCCTAAATGGGTTAATTAAAGCAATAATTAATACTCAAATACCTATAAGTAGTCAAGTTTCTTTCAGACCCAAAATAAATGTGAGGTAGAACATATAAATTACTTAATTACAAATATAACGCAGTATTTTAAAATAAAATATAACATTCTTATTGAAACATTAGGATGTAATAAAATTTCTTGATTGGTGTAATTTTCTCACTTTAGTTTTTATATTAAAACCGTCTTGAAATCTGAGGGTTGCTATCTACATAAATAGAATTGTTGAATGTAACAAATTTAGGATCAATAGAAAAATCAATGTTTAAATGCAAATGCAAAATTAACACAAAAATTGTTTATAAAATAATTCAAAATCTGTAAGTAACCCTATTTACATAAGAAGAAATTAGTATTAGTGAACACAATATATTCATTAAAACATGCTTTAAAGTAATTTAATGTGATTTTTATTCCTAAGTGGAATTTTAAATGCACTTTTTCAACTTGCAACCATCATATACCAATCAAAATTTTAATGCTTTCTCTGAAATACAAAAACCTCATTTTTCAAATTACTACAGAGCGTTACGGGCAAAAAAATCTTGTTGAAGAATAGAATAGTCTTTACAAGCAAAGTCACAGTTTCTCAAAATTGATTTTTCTTTTACTAAAGATAAAATTTTAGATCTCTAATACAAGTTTTAACAACAGTCTTAGTAAATTAAGAAATTCTTTAAAAATAATTTTGATTGAATTCCTATTTATAGATACTAAGAATTACTTCATGCGTTGTGTACATTTTTGTCAGTACAATAAATATAAAGAACGCAACATAAGATATGATTTTAATTGTTTCGATAACTTAATCCATTTATATCACATTTAACCAATTTTTGGTATATATATATCCATGAAATTAAAGAAACATATCACATTTTGTTTTAAGAGTAAACATGCCAAAATCAATATTTATTGTATCAACAAATTATGTGCACAAAATTCGAAATTTGGTCAAAGAGTTTTATCACTCATTAGCTCCCCAGGAATATGAATGTATACCACTATTAGTTACTATTATTTGACCTATTTTAACTAACATACATACATAATGATTAAAATTATAATTGAAACCAGTCTAAAAACTACCAATGTTCAAAGGATATTGGCGTTTTATTAAGTGCTTCAAATTAACTGCAATTTAGTTAACATTAAAATATTAAGATTGAAAGCAAAACCACCAACAAATCTAAGAATAAAACAAACGCTGCCTTTTCATAAAAATCTACAAGAGCACATCAGCCTTGAGTTTTTGTAAACTTCTGATTTCTTTATGCTCTTCCATTAAAGATTTCACCAAATTATTAGTTATATCTATCTAATTTTTGGATTGATTTATCAAAGCTGAATCATTTCACCATAGAGAATAAATAAACAATATATGCATTATTTAATAGTTACTACTAAAACATTATCAAAATTTTCAAAATCATTTGTTGAAACAAAACTCAGCTAGTTGGTAGATGCGACATTTCATAACCATAACGCTTAATTACATTGTCCATTCCATTTGTGATTTTATAATGTTTATTTTTGATCAAATTGTCATTTTTGTTTTCAAAAATATTTGTGTGTTTTCCATCCAAACAACTGGCTTGCATAATGATAGATATATCACTATTATTTGTATCACTATTTGTAAATCCATTATAAATGGGTTTAACCAACATTTCGAGCCCTGCGGATGGAGTAATATTTAAATTATCATCTACAGTTTCGTGAACATTACTTTCTTTCACAAAAAAGTTATTTAGGACATTATTAGTATCCAAAGGAACCTGCACTTTTTTTTCAACACTAATACTGGAATAACTAGGCGAATTTTGGACAGAAGTATTATTCGATTGTTCCACGAAATGTTCGCACAGCGGCGGCCATCTCGTATCCCTGCGCAAGTGATCTTCAATAGCTAAAAATTTTCGACGAGATTTATGTATATTATGCCATCTTGGTCTTAGTTTATTAAATACTAAATATTCCACAATAAATACTTCTATGAAAACCGCAATAAGAAAATGCAGTAGGCCATAAGTGACAATGTATAACCGAAAACGAAAACTGTCCGGTACAACCAAATTCATAAAGTTTGCGATTGCTTCGTAAGGAATTAATGTAAGATATATTGTAAAACCTGTCATAAATATGCAAGATATCATGAATCCATAATTAGAAAAAATTGATTTTCTATAAGGAGCTCCTTTAGAGAACACTATTGCCAAAATAATATATTGAAAGCTGGATATAGAAAATATGGCATAATTTTCATTACATCCAACAGAATTCTTATCTGGTTTCTCTGCTCCATTAAACGGCACATACCATGGCTCATTTATTATGTGGAAAAATGCCGTCATTTGAAAACCAATCACCAACAGCATTTGCAATATCAAAGATAGTATAGGACTCAAAGACATCAATGAATTCAACGGTTTTTGCTTTACTAGTGGTCCTGAGTACGCCTCTGTTTTCCCAAAAAAGAATGCAAATACAGATATCATGAATAGATCAATATACAAAAATTCTATATCTGTCAAATTTGAATCAATGGAATATAGAATCATAACGGAGACAAATTGAGTCAAAGAGTAAGCGGCCATGTATTTAAAGATGCCAAAACTAGTAACAAGAGCACAACGACCCTCTTTTATGACGCGGGGCACACATCCAATGGTTGGATTTTTAGATGTGAATGGTGATGCTACTGAACTTTCCGCCTCTGACAGAGAAATTCCAGTGTGAGCCGCTTTCAAGGCTCCGCAATCATTAGCACCATCTCCGCACATGGCTGAAAGTTAGCAAAATAGTATATCAATTAATAAAATAATATGTTTTGAATAACAAAAGAAAAAATGTTTTAAGCAAATATAATTATCATACAGATTATTATATAACTCACCAACATAGTATCCAAGTTTTTGAAGCTCCAGAACCAGCTGCTGCTTCTGATCAGGCGACATTCTTGCAAAAATTGCTCCTCGGGTTATTAGCATTGGTAATATATCTGGATAATGCTCTCTGACAATTGACCATATTTTTCCAGTAATGGCAAATCTATAATTATTTGTTGATATTTCATTCTGATAAGACTGGGGATTTACAAGTCCTGCCTCAACATCCCTGGTTTGGGTACAGGATTCTACTGTATCCATACTGATGACACTATCTGATTTTGTCATTAATGATGATTCTTCATTTCCCTATAAAAAAAAAAACATTTTTTTTTAATATATCAAAATATATTTTAGATATAAACATTATATCGAACTTACATCCGTTTGACTTCTTGATCCTGGAGCTAATGTGTAGTATAATTGTGGAATTCTTGTATGTTCATTAGTAGCATTAACTGTTATAACTCCTTGAGATGGACCAATTATACCACAATCTTTACCAACACTGATAGCTGTCAAGATATTATCTCCTGCACAATAAATAAATATATTTGCTATATGCTTATTCAATCTTTTGCTTGAAGTTCAAAGTTTTAAAAATAAGAACACTAATATACCTGTCACCATAATAATCTTCACATCAGCATCTATTAAGTTCTCTATCACTTTTGTCGTGTCAGCTTTAAGTCTATTTTCTAAAATTATTAAACCTAAAAAGGTCAATTCACTTTCTGCAACATCTCTAGACATTTTTTGGATCTTCAAATAAGAAACTTTCTTTTCTAAATTTTTGTAAGCTAATGCAATTACTCTATAGCCTTCTTGTGTGTATTTTTCTAAAACTATTGAAAAATCATCTGGAATGGTAGAAGGTTTACATAGTGTAGATAGCATCTCTGGAGAACCCTTGCAATACACCTTAAAATGATTATCACTCAGAGTACGAGTCACAACAGACATTCTTTGTAGAGAACTGGAGAACGGAAATTCACGAACTATGCCAATTTCTAGGGGTATTTCATCCAAAACAACATTTTCTACAAGTTAAAATATTAAATAAAATATATGATGATGCATGTTACTATAAAAGATTAGTGATAACTATTTAGGAATAATTTAAACATTCTTTCATAATATTATTATTAAATTTCACCTGTCATGGGAGGACGGACCACAGTAGGAAACAACATATCAAATTTAGTATCATCAGCTACATTATGCTCTTGCAATATCCATTTTGTTGACTCAAACATCTAAAAATAAAAAAAAACAATTATAATATTTGTGTCAAATAATTATGAATTTAATTACTAATAATACCTTTAAATCAAGCGGGTCACCAGACATTTGTCCATCAATCATAGTGATTGAATGACAAGAGACCATTCCAAATAATAAATCATTCTGAGGATGCTGTTCGATATTTTTAAATGGCAATTGAAAATATTTGTTAAATGTAGGTACCACACCCCACATGTCTAAACCATCTTCAGTCAATGTCCCAGTCTATCAAAATAATGGATAATAGGTAGTCAGATTTGATTTATGCATTACAATTAATTACAAAACATCATTGTGTAAAAATTTAAATCTAACCTTATCAAAACAAACACAATCAATACTTCCAGATACATTGATAGTTCTAGGAGAAATGCAATAAATTCCATTATTTTGCAACCTTCTTTGAGCATACATCCTGCCTACAGTCATAGCTGCTGGTAAAGCTGGTGGAACTACTATGGTTATTAAATCCAAAGATTCTATAGCAATATCATGTACAGATACACCTCTCATTACCTAATGAAAAAATGTTTTAGATGATTTTTTTATACATTTAAAAAAATTGATTGATCATTTCACAAAACTGACATTTCAAGGATAACTTACTTTAGTAATGACAGTGTATATGAATCCTAATCCAGCAATTCCAGCCAACATGGCTATAAATCTATAAGAGTCTCTTTCAAACTTATAGTCTACTGGTGGTGGGTACATTATAGACCTAACCAAGCCTCCTTTCGCTGTTATTGTACCTGTAGAAATTACAACAGCCAAAACTTTCTCATTTCCAAAATACCTTGTTTGAATAACTCTGGTTCCACAAAACAATGTGTGCCTAGCATGCTCTTTAGTATCATAGTTGACATTGTGTTTTGGAGGCAAAGGTGTTTTAGTCACAGGTACACTTTCTCCTATTAATACATAATATTATATTATAAATATTTATCAATCATAAGTAATGAATTTCTACATATTCCATTTGTCTTACCAGTGAGCATAGATTCGTTCAATATGCAATTGCCAGTCAATAACACTGCATCACAATGCATAATACAACCATGAGATGGGATTTCCAAAACATCACCAGGAACAAGGAATTCAGTCCCAATCACTTCGGACTGTTCAGTACCACCTCTTAAAACCGTAACAGTATCACTGCTATGCACTGTACTGCGCAAGGCCCTTTGGTTCTAAAAAGTATATGTATATAAACTTTTGTTACATTATACACAGAGATTAGAAGTAGAATTTTGCTTTACCTGTCTCGTTTGAATAATTGACATAGAAATCCCAAAAATAGACATGATTAAAATAGCCATAGCATAATAAATATAGTTATCAGCAAACCACAAACAAAATGAAAAAACTTGGAATACGTAGAAAGGGTTTAAAACTTCCAGACACAATAATGTTATTACACTGCTCACTGGAATTACTATTTCATTAGAACCATACACTAAACGCCTAAAAATAAAAATAAATAGAAAAGTATATAAGTTGAAAATACTTATATGCTTTAACATGTAAATACCTAGAATATTGTTGATGAGCACTCAAACCTCTCTGTTGGTGCAGTAATGTTGTAGGAACATCTTTGTCCAAACCCATTAATTTTTTGAACTGAGCTGTTTCTCTATCCCAAATGTAACATAATTTTTTGCAATAAAATCTTCTAATTATCGATGTATCTGAATTTATTAAATATTACATGTTTTAAAATAACGAATGCTATTTATTTATTGTTTCCAATGTTATTTATACAAACCTCGAAATACACCATTCGATGTATGCACTGAAAATTCTAAATTATCGACATCGCGTATTGGACCATTTTGAGAGAACATTTTTTGTTTATAATCTTCCCTGTAATAATGATAAAGTTAATTGAAAGTTGAAAAAGTCATGCAATAAACTTTTACATATTTTGTTGAGCAACTAATAAATGATAATTGAACGTACCGGTATGTCCATAACATTTCTTTTATATAACTAAATTATATCATACAGGTTAATTTATGATTTAAATGAAGCAAAATTTAATGCTGAGTAAAAATAATCACATATCCTTTCATTTGGATCTATCCATTGTTAATCAATTTTCTTAACGCGAAATGAATAAGTTATTTATATGAAAATTGAAAAACTCACACAAAATCCTCGCATCGTACAGTCTCGACTGATTTAACATAGTAGATGGTATGTTTATCATTATATCGCTCAATAATTAAAACTTTCGATGCTTCGGCAAGAGAGCAGGGTGCATGCGTCGCGAAAAGATACCAATGCTTAGACCAGTGCATCAGGAGACGCAACACACCAGCCGTGAGCACGATGGCTGTCCAGCACAGCGCCGTGCGCACTATAGATCTGCGGTAACCTTCGATAGACAATTCATCTTCCTCGCCGCGATTTAGCACGCCCCTGGTGCTCACCACTGCAGGGTCTAAGGAAAAAGAGAACAATGACTTCATTTATATTATATAATGAAAATTGAATTTACGCGAAATATCCGCATGAATTGTGTAATAACAATTAACTGTTCTATTTATGAACTAGTGAGGTGTACGGCATCGTGCCTTAAGAGAAATTGCTAGAACTTCCCGTACCGTAATTAAAAATCTCGGTGCGAAACCCAAAAAAAGTTACACAAAATGTGTACACATTATTAAAATCTCTATAAAATATCTGATAATTTTATGTACATATGTCCAATAAACATTTTTGACCGCCAACTTACATTTTTTAACTACTTTTTATTGAGAGTCCATAACTGGACCTGCTTTCCTAAAAATTTAATCAGTTGTTCATCTTGTCAATACAAGTAAAATGTTTTTTAATTATTAAAATCGGTCGCTTCGTTCTCTTAAAAACTGAGTTACCGTTTATGGCACTTTTTCCCCGTATCTTTGGAACTGCTAGAACTACCTTAGCCAAAAATCAGCACGTCTTCATATCAATACGAATTGAATGTTTTTTTAATTATTCAAATCGGTTGATCGGTGTTCCCGAAATCGTCGACGAAAATTTGTATCCGTACACGCACACCACACACACATTCATTTTTTCTAAAGATATATAAATCTTAAATATTTCGTTTTCGATTTTTTTGCGATTACTATAACTCGCCCTACAGGAAGTTTAAAATGTATCAAAAATATATAATATAAAATTTACTTACACATTTACTTTAGTATCAGTTATGTTACTATTGTACTTAGTAACAACTTAAAGCAAACTTAAAAACTAATCCAATCATCTACTTACAAAAAAAGGAATGTGGAAAATATTATTTATTTTGAATAAAAGAACTAAAAGCAAAAAGTTCATAAAATATTTGTGGTCAGTATTCTTAAGGGGGTTGTTCGTTTTTTGTTAGAAAAAATACAAGGTATTTGTTTTTGATCTTATCGAAATGTATTTATCATAGAGACATGCGGTTTTTTTTTAAACAAAAATTACAAGATCATGGAATATTAAGAATTTTTTTATTATTTTTTTTCGCCGTCATTTTTTAACCAGGGGGCACCAAAGTGGGTATTGCAAAATCGATCTCTTTTGCGGTGCCACAGATAAATCTGTTGCGCATCGCCTGAAACAAAAAAAAAGAAACTACGTTGAAGAAGTAGGTTGCATCCAGTCCCTCTACCAAAATGGAAGAAAAAAAGTGTTAAAAAGGGCCTTTTTTGGGACGAGAAGCTTCGCAAAATTTTTTTGCGTAATGTTATAAAATCGTTTGAGGTAGGGGGACTAGGTATTGCAGTGGTGAACAAATTAAAAAAAATGCAAGTCGATCTGATTTGTAGTTTTTTTTTTAAATTTGTGGCACCGCCATGAAAAAAGTCAATTTGAGAAAATGTATTTAAAGTTTTCAATATAATGTACTAAATACACCATCATTTGATTTAACCATGGTGTTTAAAGAATGCTGACACATTAAAAAGGTCACGCGCATGAGGTATTATGATGAAAAAGAGAGCAGCTGGCATATAATAGCTGTTAAAAAGATGAAAAAGAAACGGTTTCTGAAGATCATACATATAGAGATATATATAATTATAACTTCGTCAAAAAATAGATATTGAGATGATTTTTTTTTTTAAATAATTCTAAGGTTTTTAGCTTTCATAATATTGAAAAATCTCAAAATTGAAAAAAATAAAAAAAAAACGAACAACCCCCTTAAAACACATATGCCATACATTAAACATATGCCAGTGTAAAAGAATTTTTTTAAAGAATGCAACTATAAGACTTCTATAAAACATTTAAACAATATGCGTTAATAGATTCCAGTGATTGCAAATAAAAAACATTTCAGAGCCTTTTCTACTATGTAGAACATCTTAAATGGAATTTAAGTTATTTAAAAACAAAATTCTTATCGCGTATTATTACATCTCATTAACCATAATTCTTGCCGCCGATTCGATTTAATTAGTGTAGTTATCTTTATCAATATTATACTGACAAATTATTATCTTCATATGCACCTGATAATAACTTATAAAATTACCAGAGAAAACAATTTATACATTTTCGAAATTATAATACGTTTTAAAAAAGATTTCTCGATAACTATGATTAATCCTTAACAATTAAAATAGAGAAGTTAAAATTGAATACATTTTTAAATTTACTTTCAGTACTATCTAACTTTGTATGCTATTATGTATAAAATTACTGTAAACTCAGCTCCTTCGAATTAATCTTTTTGTCCATTATAACATTTGCATAAAAATTCATTCGCTAAACAATTTATTTTGAATGTGTGTTTTTTCTATATATAGCAAAGGATATAGATTTACATATTCCAGAGATAAAATATAATAATATATCAAATGTGCATGTGCTTTAATAAATCAGTATAAATCTTCTTCTGATTTTTGTTTAAATAGTATCACATTCATTAAAAGGTTTCAGTCATGCACACGTATTACAAGTAGTATTCTAAGAATTAAGATAAATGGGCTACAATTTTGGCAATTGTAAAGATTCATATAAATACCACTAACATATTTATAGCATAGTTATTTAAGTATTTATAGTAAAGTAGTAGTTTAATAACCTGAATTACTCATTAAATTGGATTAGTTGCTAAAGATAGAGCATTTTCACCATAGATGTAATAATTATTATATTCATCGGTACTACTTCAACATAGAAATAAAATTATACATTAATTTATACAAATATATATATATATATATATATATATATATATATATATATCACAAAGTAGTTAACATGATGTTGAGATATATGAATTCTTTTAGGGTGATACATCAAAGAATAAACCAAATATGTATAAATTAATTTTTAACTCCCAAACATTTCGACATACAATTTAATGCCATCATCAGTAGATATTGAAATTGGTATCTCACATCAAAGAATGTGTATACAGCACAAAAGTTAGCACTAAAATTAATACAATAACTTATGCGACCATATGAACATGCATCTCGGACAATGTAGCTATTACAAGATAATTTGCAATAATATCTTAATTCTATTTACATTTTTGTTGAACAATTTTCATTGTTTTACCTATTTACACAAATGGAAAAAAATCATGTTTATTGACAAGTTAGTAATGTTAGTGCTAACATTTGTGCTGTATATACATATATTTTGTTTCAATTTCAATATGATCATGACATTAAATTGTTCGTCAAAACGTGTGGAAATTTAAGATTAAATTATATATTATATATATATATATATATATATATATATATATATATATATATGTATAGTATTGTCACTTGCCAATGCAAGGAATAGTTGATGTTTTATATTAAAAAGTCAAAATATAGTTTTAAATAAAATATTAAAGAATGTTTAGTAATAAGTAACTGTTATTGAAATTACACTGATGATGAGGCACACCTTGGTCTCGAAACGTTTGTAATCATAAAATAAAGTTATGTTAAACAAATCTGAGTGTTGTTTTGTTCATATTAAACAATTAATATTCGTTCCACTCATATCATAAAATTCTATATATATGTATATATATATATATATATATATATATATATATATTATATATATATATATATATATTGTGGGGTAATATATATTGATAAACTGTTACATATTTTTCAAATAAAATTTTAAGATACCGTAATGGATTAATATTATTCACCTCTAAGTAACTCTGTTGCTTGCTCTATATTCGCTTGTTCATCCACCATATGTCTCAAGCTATTTCGACCACCAGCCAAATTTCTGTATTGACTCAACCGTGACGGTGAAGTAGGCATGATTAGGCAGTGATTAGAATATCGTTACAAACAAAGAGACAAATATGATTTAACACTTCACGTTTAAAAGCTCTCTATTACTCTAGAGATTGTAGTATGATTAACATTCAATATAATACAATTTAAAATCTATCTATCCAGACATTTGCAATGAAATGAGTTTATTGGTATAACTTTTCTAACACTGACTATAGGCTTAAGGAAATGCTACCTAGTAAAAACACAGTTCAGAGGCGCAAAAATCCTTGTAGCACTCAACACAATAATTGTTCTCAAGTAATAAAATGCGCAGAGCGGCTGTCAAAGACATTGATCATCAAACATCAGGATCGCTTTCAAGCAGCGTCAGACGGACCCCAATAAATGTCAGTCCCCCGGATCGGGCTTAACCCTCCATCCGACTTGTGGTACCGGGGTCTGCAGTCTGCAGGAAGGCATAGCACTAACCGAAGAAGTATTGTTTAATTGTTTTTGATTCTCTGCCACAATTCCAATGTGTCCGAATCGGTCTACTCGACGACAGGCCTCTAAACCTTGATACTCCTTAAGACAGCCCAGAGATTTCTCAGAAAACATAACGCGTGCAAGGTTTGATTCACAAGACCGATCCGTTTTCTAAGACAGACCGTGATTCATTAATGTCGATTCTAAGTATTCGACAAAATATCCACTGACACACTCCACTAGGTATGAAATTTGCTCAAACGAAATCGTGAGAGTCTACTCATAAAAAATTGCACCAGAGTTCAATGATCAGATTAAACTTTTATTAATCAGCTTATTAATGGGACTTCTAACAAGAGCAGGCAACGTGATATGTTCTGTAAAAATACACATGATTAGGCCAAAACGAGCCGTGAGGAGAAACACAATACACTGTCTTTTACGGTAGACGAAGCACAAATGATGTAATGCAACAACTTGTAGGCCCACCTCCTATGAGTTCAAACAACGAACATTTCTGTTTAATATTTACAAAGAATTTACGACAATGCACCAGCAGCGGAAACTGTTTTGAGTTATAAGAAAATTCAACAATACACAATAAAGCGTATGAACAATTGCCAGTTTGGAAGTTATGACAGAACTGCTGAGAGAAGCGAATTGACCGTGACAGCCATATTGCAACGTGCGCCCGTACTACATATGATATCCCATTCGCGGGAGCGAGACGGCTGCATGATCACGGCATTCACGGCGCGGCGGCCGGCTTGAGCGCAGGCGCCGATCCGAGACGCACACAGGAACGGCGGCATATGGGAAATATTGCTCTACGGGTCGCTCTCTTCCTATTACTCTATTACCAGTGGCGGATTCAGGGGGTGGGTCACGGGGGTCATGATCCCCCCCCTGAGCTTGTCTTAAGACTTAAATAGAACACTAATTCAGCAATAAAATTACTTCATAATGATTTTATTTATGTACTTTGTTGCCAAATTTTATAACTTCAATATGTAACTTATTACAGACAAACGGCGGAGTCAAAGACTCCTAAAATCTAACATACTCATTGAGAACTATAATTTAATTATGTGACCCCCCCTGGAGCCAAAGCTGGATCCGCCACTGTCTATTACAATTACTAACTCCCACGTCCATTCTGAGGAAACTGTTGCGGAAAACCGTCTTTTACACTTCCACGTATTAGATCCTGTTATCCTGATCCACCCGGGGCATCTGATATTGTTTTTTAGGAGTATGATTTAACAAAAACATGAAAATCCAAAAAAGTAGACAATTTCAATCATAGATAATTCAATTTGTATATAATTTCAATCAATTTCTTGGCAATTGTTGCCTAAAAATCTAAAATTTTCATAAAATATGTTTTTGTAATTATTATAACTTAAGGGGTTGTTCGTTTTTTTTCGATTTTGAGATTTTTTGATATTATGAAAGCTAAAAACCTTAGAATTATTTTCAAAAACAAATCATCTCAATATCTATTTTTTTGACGAAGTTATAGATATATATATCTCTATATGTATGATCCTCTGAAAGCGTTTTTTTATCGTTCCGCGAGCTATTGTATGCCAGCTGCCTCTTTTTCATTATAATACCTCATGCACATGACCTTTTTAATGTATCAGCATCTTTGAACACCATGGTGTATTTAGTACATTAAATTAAATGGTGTATTTAGTACATTATATTAAAAACTTTAAATACGTTTTTCTCAAATTGACTTTTTTCAATGCGGTGCCACAAATTAAAAAAAAACTACAAGTCGGATTGACTTGCATTTTTTTTTAATTTGTTCTTCACTGCAATACCTAGTCCTCCTACCTCAAACAACTTGATAATATTGGGCAAAAAATTTTGCGAAGCTTCTCGCCCAAAAAAAGGCCTTTTTTCACACTTTTTTGTAAATAGCTGCCATTTTTTTCCTTCTTGATTTTTTTCTTTCATTTTGGTAGGGAGACTAGATTCAAACTTCTTCAACGAAGTTTCTTTTTTTTTGTTTCAGGCGATGCACAACGGATTTATCTGTGGCACCGCAAAAGAAATCGATTTTGCAAGGCCGACTTTGTCGCCCCCTGGTTAAAAAATGGCAGCGAAAAAAAAGAAAATTTCGTAATATTCTATGATTTTGCAATTTTTGTTTTAAAAAACCGCATGTCTCTATGATAAATACATTTCGAGAAAAACAAAAACGAATATCTTGCATTTTTTGTAAAAAAAACGAACTACCCCCTTAAGAAGTCAATTTTAATTCAGCCTCTCTATAACGCTATGTAATTCATATGATGTATTGATATCCGTTCTATAGTGGGGCCACATTCTTGATTAATTAATTAATTAAAGTGCTTAATTAATTGCAAATTTAAACTGAACTAGTGGTGTATAACATCTGTCTTTGTCATGAACTTATATCTCCCCATCAGTAGGAATCAAATTTATTTGAATATTTCAAATCGCTTGATCCCTGCGCCCGAAATCGTAGACGAAAAATTGTATCCACACAAAACACACACATCATTTTTTCCATAATGTTCAGAAACCTCTGTAATGTGAAAACATATACAAAAAAATCATTTTAGATTTTTGGATGATTGCTATAATTTACCATACGCGAAGTTAAGAAAAAACTATTTTTTTATATCTTTACTTTGAATTACTTTTTCTACATCTGCTTTCAAATAACAGTGTGAAAAGTCCGCAATCGTACGACTACACATGCCGCAATAAGTTTTCTTATATTGTGGTATATTTTCGAGTATTTTATGAGGGTTAGTCTCCATAATTTATTCACAATGATAGTCTATTTATAAATAGTAAACTATTGATACATAAAAGATGTTACAATAATGCAAACAAAATAAAAATATTTCAATATTTATGAACTATTAAAAAAACGCTTAAAACCTAGTATTCAACAATTTAAAGCACGGACTTAAGAAGTTGCAGCTGAAAATCGGATTTTCAATTTAACAACGAAATTTTTGAAAAACAAATAACATGCACGTATTATATGAAAAATATATATTTATACATTTTATTCTATACATTCAAAATATGCTGAACTTTTCTCAATTCAAAAGTATCTATTATAGCGAAAGTAGCCATAATAGATACTAGATTAAAGCTCCAACCCGAAGCTTTTAATATCATATCGAATGGAGTAAGTCCTTGACATTGGCACTCATTTAAACAAAGATCTTGAACATCTTTGATAAACACATATGTATTGTACATTAAATTAAATGGTGTATTTAGTACATTATTTAAAAACTTTAAATACGTTTTTCTCAAATTGACTTTTTTCAATGCGGTGCCACAAATTAAAAAAAAACTACAAGTCGGATTGACTTGCATTTTTTTTTAATTTGTTCTTCACTGCAATACCTAGTCCTCCTACCTCAAACAACTTGATAATATTGGCAAAAAATTTTGCGAAGCTTCTCGCCCAAAAAAAAAGGCCTTTTTTGACACTTTTTTGTAAATAGCTGCCATTTTTTCCTTCTTGATTTTTTCTTTCATTTTGGTAGGGAGACTAGATTCAAACTTCTTCAACGAAGTTTCTTTTTTTTTGTTTCAGGCGATGCACAACGGATTTATCTGTGGCACCGCAAAAGAAATCGATTTTGCAAGGCCGACTTTGTCGCCCCCTGGTTAAAAAATGGCAGCGAAAAAAAAGAAAATTTCGTAATATTCTATGATTTTGCAATTTTTGTTTAAAAAAACCGCATGTCTCTATGATAAATACATTTCGAGAAAAACAAAAACGAATATCTTGCATTTTTTGTAAAAAAAACGAACTACCCCCTTAAGAAGTCAATTTTAATTCAGCCTCTCTATAACGCTATGTAATTCATATGATGTATTGATATCCGTTCTATAGTGGGGCCACATTCTTGATTAATTAATTAATTAAAGTGCTTAATTAATTGCAAATTTAAACTGAACTAGTGGTGTAAACATCTGTCTTTGTCATGAACTTATATCTCCCCATCAGTAGGAATCAAATTTTTTTGAATATTTCAAATCGGTTGATCAATGCGCCCGACACCGTAGACGAAAAATTGTATCCACACAAAACACGCACACATCCATTTTTTTCAAAATGTTCAGAAACCTCTGAAACGTGAAAACATGCAAAAAAAATCATTTTAGATTTTTGTATGATTGCTATAATTTACCATACGGGAAGTTAAGAAAAAACTATTTTTTTAATCTTTGAAAATTTACTTCGAATTACTTTTCTACATCTGTTTACAAATCAAGCGTGAAAAGTCCGCATTCGTACGACTACGTCTGCCGCAATAAGTTTTCCTATATTGTGGTATATTTTCGAGCATTTTATGAGAGTCTTCCATAATTTATTCACAATGATAGTCTATTTATAAATAGTAAACTATTGATACATAAAAGATGTTACAATGATGCAAACGAAATAAAAATATTTCAATATTTATGAACTATTTAAAAAAACGCTTAAAACCTAGTATTCAACAATTTAAAGCACGAACTTAAGAAGTTGTAGCTGAAAATCTGATTTTCAATTTAACAACGAAATTTTTGAAAAACAAATAAAATGCACGTATTATATGTAAAAATAAATATTTATAGATTTTATTCTATACATTCAAAATATGCTGAACTTTTCTCAATTCAAGTGCGAAAGTAGCCATAATAAAAATCTCGATTTAAGCTCCAACCCGAAGCTTTTAATATCATATCGAATGGAGTAAGTCCTTGACATTGGCACTCATTTAAACAAAGAGAATTAAAAGTAAATATTTATATAAGTAATAACATATTCGGAAAGTTTAGTATTTCATAATACAGTTACATCGCTGTGATTAAAGTGGAGTATTCATAAAGAGAATAAAGAGGATGTATTATTATTTTCATATTATAATGAAAATTCAATTGAAAATACATTTTTTTCGGGGTTTTCCAGTTTATTAAGAGTTTTTTCTATTTTGGGTAAATCTGACGAAAATCAATTTTTGTTAATCATTCTATTTGGTATGAAGATTAAATATATAACATTTAATAAGTATTTCCTTATGTATTTGAAGTTTTTATAATAACTAATTTATGTTTTTGCGAAATTGTTCTAAATTGCATTTATGCCTGCATAGTACAAAAATGCACGTCCTCATATATTTAGAGGAAAATTTTTGGCTGGCGTGTCTCTACTACGCTCTGATTTATTTTAAGACTATCATTCGCAAAATTTTCTTGAATAATGTTCGGGCTGGCGGAAACTTATGTATGTATATATATACATATATAAATTTTTTGTTCATTTTATATTCAAACTTTAAACATGGTATATATTTGCCTGATTCTATTCCGATTGAAATACAAATCGAAGTTTTTATCTTAAGGCGACAAATATCATATGATATCTGGGTATCATAAAATAATGACGAGGCTAATATGATTCAAATTTTGATACGGGTTTGTACTATGGAAGCAAAGTTCCATTTAATTCATAATGAAATCTGAAACTAAGGTTCTCAAACTTACTACAGCATAATGCACGAGAACGTAATTTATAAAGAAATGAAAAATAAATGAATATTAAAATAGTTTCATGATTATATGCGATTCGTATTACCCTGATCTGTTATTATTCTTAACTCAAATATATTGGTTTCTGTATATGCTA